TTTTCGATAGATCAAAAAAAAGCATATGATATGGTAGATAGGGATATACTTGTTAAATTATTAAAAAAATCTGGATTTGGAAAATACCTTATTAATTGGATAATTACTTTATATAAAAACACGTCTTCTAGAATAAATGTAAATGGATATTTATCAGAAAAAATTTTTATGTCAAGGGGGGTAAGGCAGGGATGTCCACTTTCTCCATTGTTATATTTATTTATTTCTGAATTAATATCAACCAATATAAGATGCAATAGAGACATTATCGGATTCAAGAATTGCACGAATCAAAGAGATGTATATAATGGGTTTGCAGACGACATAACACTCATGCTTGAGTCAATGTCGTCTGTAGATTCAGTATTAAAATTAATGGAGATGTTGGAAAGTGGTACAGGTCAAAAAATTAATAGGGATAAATGTACGATATTATTATGTGGATCCTCTCGAAGCTGGCAAATAAATAATACCTATAAGGATATTGCTTTAAAAAGGGAAGAGATAAAATTATTAGGAATATATATAGGAAACTCCCAAAAGTCTAGAGACAAAAACTGGTCTAATATTCTTGCAAATGTTCAAAAAATTGTAAACCTATGGAAGGGACGAAATCTGACCATTGTAGGAAGAGTTGTTGTTGCAAAATCTTTGATGCTGTCTAAATTATGGTATATGGCTAGTTTTGAGTTTATGCCGGAAAAATATATTCAAAAAATGGAAACGATAATCTGGAAATTTATTTGGAATGATAAAGCACAAATGATTAATAGAAATATCAGCTGTAGCGAATTTTTCGAAGGAGGGGTGAAAATGATGAACATTAGAATCAAATTAAAGCTTTACAGGTAAAATGGGTGTTAAAATTGCTTGAAGGTTGTAATAATCCATGGTCTCAGAGAGCAAAGTATTTTGTAAATAACTATTTTGATGTATTATCGAAAGGTAACTTAGAATGCTTGTATTTGAACTTTAAATTGGAAACCAATATACATATACCGAAATTTTATACTAGTATAATCAACTCATTCAAACAAATTGGCTTAAAATGGAATCAACCACAAAATATAGCAGAAATATCACAGGAAATAATTTGGCACAATCCTCTAATATTAGATAGAAATAATATGAAATAACTGCTAAATCAAATTGGGTTCAGGCAAAAATAATTACTGTTAGTGATATCTTTGGCAAAACAATATATGATATTTCCAAAAGAGTGTACCCCCAGCTAGAAAACTCTGCAATAAGTACTTTAAGAAAAAACTGCTTGATAAATAAGTGCGAAAATGAATTACGGCAAATATGGGAAGCACTTCCAATAGAATGGAGAGAGATTTTATCAAGGAATAGGGAATTTGGTCAAACAAGAATATTAATTGATAGGTACAATGGGTCGAAAGACTTGACCACTAATCAAATTTATAGGATTTTACAAAGTAAGAAAAATGATACATTTTTGAAAAACCATAAGGAATACATATTTAATAAATTTCACCTAACTAAGGCAATTAATTGGAATAAAATATGGAAAATAAATATTGGAAACAAGTATAAAGAGTTATGTTGGAAGTTAATTCATAATGGGTTGCCCACTGGAGACAAAATAAAACACTGGTTCATTGATGAACCAGGAATGTGTGTCTTATGTGAAAATAATGTTGAAGAAACTGTGTGTCATTTATTTTTAGAATGTGACTGGTCTAGTGATTTTTGGCAATGGTGTTGCATTAGATATTAATCAAAATACTATTATAGCAAACGATTTCGGAATGCAAATCAAAATTAATCACAATATTATGCGGAAAATCAACAATTTGGGAATATCGAAATTCAGTAAAATATGATGAAATAGATAAAATGAAAAAGTAGTATGCGTTCAATTTTCAAGTGTAAACTGGTAGGGGATTTTAAATTTACTAAAAGCAAGCGAAAAGAAATGAATTATTGTTATATGAGCACATGGATGATCTTTTACATAGGTCAATCATGATGTAAGTTTATATGCAACACCCATACTCTGAAAATTATTGAAAGTATGTTTTCTGTACATCATTTTCATAAGAGGGAAGATGTATCAACTATGAAACATAGATGGGCGATGGGGAAAAACCCAATATGAAAGCGTGGATTTTCCATATTCTCTGTCTAATTTTTGTATTCTTGTATTTTTCATGCTAACTAAAAAATTAAAATAAAAACTGATTACCTGTAAATTAAAATTATATTCAAACTAAACTGCTGAGTGGATTTACATGTGGATTTAACTCAACTTTTTTGGACATATATTTGGATTATATTAAATTAATGACATCATGGTTATGGTATGAATTTTGTCTTTATTTTGATTTTTACTATTCATATGTATTGGGGGGGCTGGGATTAAATTAAAAAATGATAAACAAAAACATGGAAACAAAAAAAAAATATCTATTTATATATTTATAATAAAATGATTTGATACCAAAATATTAATACGAAAATTCCGTTTGGCATTGGAATTTATTTTGGCACAAAAAAAAAAAAAAAAAAAAAAAAAAAAGGTACGAGAGAGGTCGCCGGCGTTTGTTCCATACTCGCACGCGCCATTACGGGTATCGCTGTACTTTGGCAAGCTTTTATTCAGTGATTGTGACGTTGCAGTGACGAACCGTGCGTTTTACATGGCATAGTCATGGGGGTTAGAAATAACATAGGATAGGCCTATGCCTGTATGCAGAAATCGTTATGCTACGCCCGCTAGAAATGCTTGTTGTACTAACTGACTAAACTACCTAGACCAGTAGACCCAGGTATGACTGTATGGACGTATGGATCAGAGACTGGATATTCTCTATAGTCCTGCACCGGTAGTCAGATAGTGGTGGTAGCATAAAAGTCATATTACAATATTGGGGATGTGATATTCTTGTAAAAGTATCGCTTTGTGTCCACGCAGATCCTAATTATTCACAACTTATAAACAGTAGGCCTCTAAATGAAGAAAATGTCGGAAGAAGATGAATATGACAGTTTTGATGATGAAAAATCACCAAAGAATAGCGAGGGGAGATCGAGCAGGCAAAGCAGAGGTCATGATGAAGACACGGATGACGCTAGTGAAACTGACCGAGCTAAATTTGAAGAAGAAGCTTTGGACCAGATATATAGGGACAAACTTGGTCAACTAAAAAAGCAACTAGCACAACTTGATTCTGGCACTTTGCAAGAATATTGTAGAAGATTGAAGAAACTGGAACAAGTTCACAAAGATAGACAAAGACAAGCTCATGCACATCAAGAATATTTATTGTATAAAGTTGAACAAGAATATGAACGAGAGAAAAAAGCTGCTATGAAAGACTTTGATGAAAAGAAGGTTGAATTAAAAGAAAACTTAATTGCAGAATTACAGGAGAAAAAGAAAATGATCGAATCTGAGCGTCATACAATGGAGCTCACAGGAGTTTGTCCTTCAATGGGAGATGCGAAAACACAAGTGAAACGTAATTTACGTCGACGAGCACATGACCCTGCCCCAGCAAATAATGATAAACGCCGAAAACCGAGTCCAACGCAACTAAATTTTGTACTTGATGATGAAGAAATTCTAGAAGATCTTAAAATCATTAACAAAGGCAAACCAGCAAAACTTTCTCATGAAATATCAGTGGAATCTCACAATACGAGTGGACAACCAGTAGAAGCTCGAATCGAGGGAGGAAAATTATTATATGATAAGAAATGGTATCACAGGGGGCAGCCAGTTTTTATTTATAATTACAAAGATAACACAAAGTTCAGTGGAGTTATTACAGTGATCGCTGACAGAGAAATTACAATTCGCAAAACATCAGGTGTGTCTGTACGGATATTTGCTTCACAGCTTCATAGAGGAAAGTATGGAATAAAAAAGAGAATGACTCAATGACAGTGACATTGGCGCATTACCATATAATGTCATCAGTAAATGTGTTGTTACCACAGGATGTCACCGAAGGTGCACTGTTGTGAGAATGACAACCTTTTATTCCCCAAAATACGGGTCTTGTGGGAAGTCTGTATGCACTAATGCCTTATCTAGAGACTTGTTTAAGACGAAAGTATGTGGACATTGTGCTAATATTGTGATGTACTTAATAAAGTTACGCAGTATAAACAATTTTATGATTGTGAAATGTTGTTGTATTGGATCAATGAATTATAAAAAAGTATGAGGTTTGATGTCTGATTTTAGCATCTCTTCTTCAAGGAGCAATTTTATTATTTAAAATATTTTGCTATGAAAGTTGTTTTGTGGAGCATCTGTCGCATATGATTGCAAACATAAATAGTTTCAAAGTGATATTATATTAGAATATTATTTAGATCAGGGGTGTCAAATCCTAATATGATGTTTTATGTTTATAAAGGCGCTCACATGGATAAAATACATAATGTTTCTTTTTGCGCTTGTCACTGCATTGAATCTTTCGCTGTTTTGCTCAATGCATTTATTACTGTAAGGCTAAGTGAAAGCCGCAATCTCTCGTCTTGTCATTACTGCTAAATTTCTTGTGTGACTCGACTAGATGTCTGATGTTGGTTATATGGCCCATTGATAAAAAATGTTACACACCCTTGATTCAGATATTTCATATTCATAATTATTTTTCATCCTGTGTTTGGGATGTGGATTATTCTGTTTCTGCCTATCCCTGTCATAGTGTGAAGTGGAAATAAACTGTTGAGTTATACCATTGCTTTATGATCAGTTTTAATAGAATAAGGTTCCGTTTGACAATTTGTTTTCACTTGCTGATGGATACTGCTGAATCGTCAGCAATCATATTTTTAATTGTATACCTAAGTTGACAGGAATAAGTTTCATATTCTTGTAATGTCTTGATCTAACAAATACCATATTATGACGACTGACGATGCTTAATTTTCAACCTTTCAACCGGTGGCTGCTTTAGCAGAATTTTGTTTATTTTTTGTACATATTTGTATCACATTCTATTCTTTTATTTAGCCTAAAGATTTTAAAAACCTTAATAAAACAAAATGTCATTTTGTAGACATTCTGAACCCGTTGCTCTTCAGCGTATTTGGAAAGCAATTGATGTCATTCGTGGCCAACGTCAAATTGCCAATCTTTCCCGAATATCTAAAGTTATTCAAAGAGAGTACTCCTATACTCCAAAAGAAATTTTACATCATATTTTGAAGGCTGTGAAGGACAATATGGTTGTAGAAACGGTTTCAGTTGGTTGCAAAGGTTCCAAAGCTGGGATGGAACAAGAAGGTTATTGGATTCCAGAGGATTCTAAAGTTCACTGGTATGAACAAACTCATGATTGGTATTGTTTCATATGTCATAAACCTGGTAGAGTCTTGAAATGCAAAGATTGTGTGAAAGCTTTTCATAAGGAATGTATGGAAAATTCAATAGAAGAAACCAAAAGTTGTAAATACTGTAGACGGAAAAATACTGCGTTATTGGATGTCAATCATACCAGAAAAAGTAAGGAAATATTTAACAAATGTTTGAGATTTATTGCTCACCGAGCAATGGAAAATTTTCCAGAGATATCGCATCATCCTGATGCGGAAGGTTATATGCATTATAATTACTTTATAAAGCAGCATATGAATTTATATGAACTGGAGAAGTTATGTAAAGAGAATAAATTTGAAGTTGCCTTGGATTTTCTTTGTTATGTAGAACTGATTGTTCATAATTGCATACTTCTGCTCGGTGAAAACCATGAATATTCAAAATCTGCCAAAAGTGTGTTGGAAACATGTATGCATGAGGTCAAGGAATTGTCTTTATGCTCTAACTGTTACTTTCTGTCCAGCACAAAACCAACAAAAGATTGGTTTAGCGCTCCATGTCAGCCACCTCATAGAGTTGTTTGGGCCAAGCAAAAAGGATTTGAATATTGGCCTGCTAAGGTTATTCAAGTGAATAATGATCAAGTGGATGTTCGATTTTTTGGTGGTCATCATGAGAGAGCATGGGTTAAAGTTGATAGTATGAGAAGCATTGTTGTTAGTCCTTCAGAATTACAAATCAAGATAACTAAAAGTTGGAATAAAGCTAATGCTGAAATGAAAGAATACATCATACAGACTGAAAAAGTTTATGGGTCAAACTATGCTGCTCAAATTGTTTCTTTTGACTATGAATGTTCAAGCGAGGAATCCTCTGATAGAGGACAAGAACTTTCAAACATTGAGCTACAGACAAAAGCAGCAAAGCGTAAGGCAAATCCGAAGGACTCTACGACAGAAAAACAAGGCAAAATTCGTTTAAAAATCTCAAAGTCTAGGCTTAAACCGGAGAACATAACTGAATCTGAAAGCAATACTAGTGGAAGTTCTGCTGTGATAGGGATTATACAAACTACGCATGCAGATAGAAAAAAGCAGATCTTAGTGCTTGGTGAAAAGGCAAAACCGAATAGTGAATGTGCTCGTACTTGGCAATATGGAACTGATTGCATTGTTTTAATCAAAAAATATAATTTGAAGAAAAAATACTCTGGTCTTGCATACCCAAATATCCAAAGTTCTAGAAAAGCACACAAAGTGGAATCAGAAAAAAATCAATTGTCCAAGTCATTTAAATGCAACTGTCGTAAACGATATCAATTAGTGTTATCTCGATATAAAGCATCTGTGAGAAAAATGAGAACAGTAGAGCGAAAGCATTTGTTGATTTCAAGTGCATTGTACATTCGGCGATATTTAAAACAGCAATTCACTCGGGCACAAGATCTTGAAGAGGAAGTAGCTCGATTAAAATCAGAAAATAAATTGCTTAAATCAAGATTTCCTGAGAACGCTGAAAGTGCAGTAATGGACACGACAATATTAATTTAATTTTTCTTACATAACTTGGATCTGATTATCACTATATTATTTGGATATCCTCAGTCATCAATTTGTTTCATATATATATTAAAAATTGGGCGCTCCAGGAGTATGTGTACTAGTACTGAAACCTATGGGCAGGGGCTATATTCACTTGGCTAACACAGACAGTCCCTGAACTCCCTAATAGAACTAAAATGAGGAAAATCCTAATGAATTATGTCCTAACCCTATCCTGGTACACACATTTCGGGAGTACAGAAAATTGCATGCGTTAACGCCAACTGTGCATCTGTCAATGAATCTGTTAAATTTAACCTTGTCATTATACTGAAAATTCATCTCTGTGTATGCCTTTAAAAATTTTAAGTATGAAAATGAAAAATAAAAATGGCTGCTTTCATGTTTCATATAGCCTTGCATCGCAAGACTTGTCTTTTTATTTTCATCGATGTGTTATGTTTTTATCTACAGTGGTTACAAACCTGTATATCAATCACTGTTCAATACTTTGGAATGAAAATAATACAGATAGAATTTTTTTTCAATCATGACTTACAATATTTCTTTTTCTACATGAATCTTGAGTTTGGCTTGGTATTACCGTCTCTTTGTAATCATGCTTTCTACAAAATTCACATTTACTCAACATCACGATGCTCGCCAATACTGCTACTCCAATAACCTAAGTTGGTAAAAATGTTGCTGATATTTAGCCATATCAAATTAATTTCAATTCAATCAATTGGAAGGAATTTTTTTTCAATTTAAATACTGTAGTTATATCGGTTCTGCTAATGTTTTAATATAAAAATGAACAATTCAAAAAAGGTAACAATGTCACATTAGTTTTGGCCAATTTTTTAGAATACTGGGTTCATACTAGCATAAATTATCAGATACTGGTAATCTCATTTTTGGACATATGGAGAAAACTCCATTAATATCAAATATTTATAATTGAAATTCATCGAAACAATCCAGGTTATGCTGATAAAATGTCTACAATACAGAAAAACGCCCAAGATATGTCCTTGCACGTTGCTGAGATTTTTTATTCCATCTTGCAGATTGATAAATTCATTTCATTATTACATTGTTTGATCCAGATAGAAATAATTTTCTAAACTAAATTATATCATTTCCATTGGGAGTAAATTACGGTAATTTCAATTTTTCGTATCTCTTTACAAATCAATAACAGAAATTTGCAATCAAAGAATGTAAAATAATGAGAAATTTTCACTGTATTTGTGTTTGTCATCTGAACCTGTAGCATGAATTTTTTGTCTGCCATCTACAGGTAGTTTTTTGTTGGTGATTGCAAACTGTTTATAAGTAAGACTGTCCACATACCAGAATATTTGTATGAAATTCAATAATTGAGTGCAAATGGGGTGTTGTATATTCAATTTTTTTCTGATGGATTTTTTTATGTTTTGATTTATTGTATACTTAGAAACACAAATCTGTTAACGCCTAATTTTCTTTTGTGTTTTTTGCATTGCGTCTTATTCTAATCATTGCTCAATTTTGTGTTCAATATTCCTTACTTTAGTAAAGGTTTAAAAACTAAGTTGTCTTTTCTTAATTTTTTTGGATACATAACACAAAGGACGAGACATAGATTCTATCGGTGAGTAAAGCAAATATATTGAGTCATTGCATGGATTTATACTGACGTTGTCTATTCCCTGAGTTTCCCACAGGCTCATAATCACGTAATTTTCTTGAAGTCCTGAATTCTCATATTATTTAATCCATCAGACTGCTAGGAAATGTAACTTCAAATTGAATTATGAATAAAATTTATTATCACAGTGTTAAGGAAAGTAGTTGAATTCTTAAACTATAGCATGCAGTTTGAGTTGAGTTTTCAATGTTTTATTTAGAGTTTAGGATTTCAAAAAATAGAGTAATAAAATCGAGATAACCAGAATATCCAAGAGAGATAATATGTTCTAAACAAAGCTCCTGCAATAAATATTCTATTTATCGCATTTTACAGCATCTTCACTTTGTAAATATGAGAATTGGAATTTGTTCAATCCTTTATGCATGTCTGCTGACTTCAACTTTCTGTGAAACAGTAAATTTTGATCCATATGAGGTTATGAGCTTAGATCATTCTGCGTCACAATCAGATGTGAGATCTAAGTACAAAAAACTTGTCAAAGAATGGCATCCTGATAAAAACAAATCACCAAATGCACAGGAGAAATTTATCAAGATACAACAAGCTTATGAGGTAGGCCTATATCGTTTACAGTATAGTGCCCAAGGTTTGACAATTTCATGTATATGAGATTCGTGGACTTTCAATAAATGTCCCAGGCGGGTTTGTGGGTAGGACCCCCAATTTGAGACTGAGAGTTTGGGAAAAATTAGTTATTATATTATAATAGTGCTGCTCATGTAATCGCTGCTCCTGTTTTAGGAGCTATTGCCTGTGAATTATTTCTTCTGTTTCTTGAATTCCCCCCCCCCCCCCCCCTTTTAAAAAAATGCCTATGCCCCTGATGTTGAATTAATATAAAAAACACAAATCTGAAGATTTCCAATACAATTTTACAACCTATTTTATGATAATTTGAAGCACAGAGCTTGAAGTGAATTGTCATGACATTCAAGTCTTTCTTTGCAGATTTTATCAGATGAAAACAAGAGAGAACAATATGATACAGGTGGTTATACTGGTGACAATGTAGGACAATGGCATCACCAGAGCGAATCCTTCAACTTTCGTTATTCTGATTTCTCACATGACTTCTTCAGTTCTCAAGGTGAATAGTCAATGCCATAGAAAATAGGAAAATTGGTAGTTGTCTTATCGTTATTGTTTCAGTAAAATCTTATTTAAAACTGGAAAATCTTCCCCTTCCAGGATCTAGTCGAACTATTTCAATCCATGACTATTATACAAGAATTTTACCAGACAGTCATCATACACCTCATCTCATTTACGTTTACTCAACATTTTGTGCTCAATGTATATTATGGTTGAGAACAACTTGGCATAAAGCTGCATCTGATATTGAAAACCTTGGTGAGTATTTATATTTGCATTTTTCTATTGTAAACCACATGCTGCCTTAACCTCAGTAAAATTTAATTATAGATATACCATGGTTTTTGGGCTGTGCTATACTCCCATGTCCCATTATATTTTTTCTTCAAACATTCTTAGTTCTATCTTAATAAGTTAAATTTAAAATAATGATGGTTGGTTCGATCGAATAGCAATGTATCATTTATTTATTCATTTCAGTATAAATATTGGGCTTGAGAAAGCTCCAATATTTGAGTTTACGTTTATTAGATGCAAAGATGTAGTAAATAAACTGTATTGATTAAAGAGTTTTGTGACTAGTTTTGTGGTTGCCTCATTGTGCCAAGAATGCCATCGCATTTCGGCTTACCCTCCGAATATTACACGGGGATAATTCTTTGCAATAGTATTGACAACGGATTCATGCTGGCAAGGTATGGCTGCATCTACAACCAAGTCCATGCATCTGAAACAAACAACCTTTTATCTATTCCCATACCCACCTTGATCTGGTAACCGGACGAGAGGCTGTGTTTCGCCATATGATTAGGTTGTCTTATCGGCTTTCCTCTTCCCTTGAATCCTATCCTAATATCCTCTTTCTATTAATAAACTGTATCATTCATTTCCAGGTGTTGCTGTTTATACTGTTGATACAACATTTACATCTCGTATTGCTGTTAGTTTGGGAGTAACAAGAGTTCCAACAATTATAGGAATGTACAAAGAAAAAATTTATTATTTCAAAGGACAAATATCAAGAGAAGAATTGAAATTTTTTATTAATTCTTTTCTTCCATCAAATTTGGTTACTCCGGTAAATATCACTGGTTGATAATTGAACATTGTTTATGTTTTAAATCTATTGCTTTTAAAAAATGACTATATTTTTTTACTTTTATTGTAGTATTACCATTTTAGCTGGTATTAAAGAAGTCTTTGCCACTAATTTTTACTCTGTAGTAATGCCTTTCCAAGTGATTTTTTCTCATTTTATTAAACAACTAGTTATCAGTGGCTATATGGTATCTACTGTAAATTGACGAAGCTGATATAGGTATAAGGCTCGAGTGCTCAATGACTTTGTTATACTTTTGCACATTTTCAGTGATTTTTCACAACATTGCCTCATGCAAATCTACATAAAATGGGCATTTTCTGTTTTTAAAATGACAAAAAAACATTTACGAATAATACAACTTCAATAATGGTTGTGTGAGTAGTTTTTATGAAATGTATTTTCCACCAAACATAAGAATACTTAACCAATTGTGTCATTTATTTTCAATGTTTCTATACTTCATATCAGCAAATTATGCTGATTTTTCAAAAAATTCCACCATGTCCAAGGCCATTCTTTTTCCATACTTATATTCTTTCATACTTTTGATAGCTTAAGTTGAACTTGATACAAGATTATTTACTCTACTTAGATCACTGATGACAATGCCAAGAGCTTCCTGTCTGCAATAGAATTGGATGATAAACCCAGAGCATTGTTGTTCTCAGAGAAGCCAACAGCTACTTTACTATACAGACTGATGGCTTTGAAGTATAAAAGATATATCAGTATGTGACTATGTATTATTAGTTGTATATTCGATATTGTGATTCCTTTATTCTAAGAATGGCTCGAATGTCAAAACCAATGTTTATCTAAATCTCTCATGTGAATACAATTTAAATTTGTGTAAGTTCAATTGTCATTCTACCAGTAAGGAGAAAATTTTTATTTCCTTTTTCAGAGTTTGGACATGTAAAGTTAAATGATGATAAAACAGCTGGACTGACAAAAGCATATGGCGTCAGCACAACTGGTCCCACTCTTTTAGTTTTCAAAGAGAACGTTGGAAAACCTGCAGTTGTACTGGGGGTAAGTTTATACTATATTATATGGTCAATATCTTAATCATAAGTATATGATTGACAATAAAAATCTACCTGACGTATGCTGCTTATTGATATTCATTCCCTTGGAATTTCTTTCCCATGATTTTCCTAAATTAAAAGAAACTTTGTTTCATGGGTGCCATATTTTGTCTTATACAGCAAGGCAGTTTAATGATTAAGTAGTCATCTCATACCTCAAACTGTTGATTGAAAAAGAAGAAATATGATTATGTCGTCTTATAATTATTATGTCATCATATTTCCTTTCCCAGTTGAACAATTTAAAAATGCTATTTTCCTGAATTTCATCATCAGATGATTTTTTACCATGTTTAATGGATCCAAATTTTGATTTGATTGTATAGGCTTATTCATTAGTTTATATTTCTATTTTTTTTTACTCATACTACAAATGCTGTTTTGTTATCATAATTTGTCTAATACTCACTGCAATTTCAAGTCAAATGAAATGCCTCGTGGAGCAATTAATGAAATCTTATCATCGAATAAATTTGTGGTCGTACCCAGACTAACATCTCAAGATGTGTTCGATGAAGTTTGTCCTGCACCTTATGGAACTGTTTCTTCTGTTCGGTAGGTTCTCATTTAATTTAATAATAAATGAATGAGGTTTGCATTTAATGAGTTTTAATCATTGCAATCTGTTGCTCAATTCAACTGGGAATTTTTTCTCTAACTAATCAATGAAAGAACAAGGCAGCTCTGACTGACTGTATTGATGGAGCATTATGATCAATTGGTATTTACCATATAATCCGGAAGGAAATAAGATAGGACCTGCCAGCTTATTTTAATATCCTCAACTTGCTATGATAATGAAGATAACATATCTTTTAACCTGGCACCAATTTCCCGGAATGATTTATAGGTGTAATGTTCAATGTTAACTGACAACTAATTTAAAAATTGTTGCCATGAAACTCAGAGAACTAGAACTTATGCTCACAATTAATAGGTAGCTTAATATTTGTGATAAGTAATGAATTAAATTGATTTACCTCTGGAAATGCTAGAAGTTTAGAATACTT